TGATGTTCTGTGACAATGAGTCAGCTGTGAAGCTGGCCAAGAATTCATGTCTTCATGGGCTGACAAAGCATATCTGGCCCAAGTGGCACTGGGTGAGGAGGCTCTTGGACAAGGAAGTGCGGTTGGAGATAGTGAAGACCCATCAGCAGGCGGCAGACATTCTCACCAAGCGCCTGGCTGAAAATGAGCATTGGAAGGGGATGAAGCTTGCTGGAACGAGTGTGCATTGAGGGTGCATGCTTGAGCTATGGCATGTGGGATGATGGTAGGCAGCCAGAGGGGGAGTTTGTTATGTGATGCTATCATTCACATTCACGTCTGGCTGCCCAATGGCTATCATTTGCATTCACGTCTGTCTGCCTCCCATCATATGTTCGTGCGTTGCGTGCGTGGTGTGTACAAGGATTCGTGTTTGGTGTGGTTTGGATTTTCTGAGTGTGTGTGAATTTTATTTGGCTTGAGCAGATATCTGAAGTGACTCGTCTTCTCGAGAGCTTTCCGACGAACCAAGAATCGTCACGATCGAAGCAAGAACGAGAAAGATATGATCGTTCGCAGTTTTGATTGAGATGCGGCTACTACGGGAATTTGCGAAGTGACTCAATATGGGGTATAGAATTTTGGGGGTTGGGAGATTCGTCACTAATACTGTAGATGATGCCAAGTGGTTTGGGAGAAACCAAACCAGGTTGGCAAGTGTGGCCAAGTTGGGTGAGGTGGATGGCATGGGTTGGGAAAGTGACAAATGTCAAAGTTGGGGTGCCTATAGAGAGGGGAATTGTGTGGTATGGGGTTTACTTGGTTGGGGACTCCCTAGGGACCTTCCCTCTTGTCCTCCTCATCCCCTTCTACCTGGTTCTTGTTACTCTTAATTTCTTGTGTGGATCTTGTGAGACCATTTTGTGATTGAGTTAAGTTTCTATTGCAGCATACCCCATAGTGCGCCGAAATTCATACCTCGAGTTATGCTCCATCTTTTTAGACGATTCAAATTGTGAAAGTTAGCCACGGTCAAGGGCTACAAGATACTGGAGTTTGAGAGAATTCTAACGATGCGTTTTTTTGTCGACGGCGTTTCTTGTGAAGTCGACAATTCTGTTCAGAAATATAGTCCAACGATTTTGAGATATTTCGGCCCCCAATCTTCATAGACTCCGTCCTTAGTCTATTATAAGTGGCACCATCCATGCAGGTCGCAACACGCCCGTGCAGAGGAAACCAGGTGCCAACACCGAGGTCCTGAAGATGTCCAATATCCACCAAGTTCCTGGAGAACAAGAGGATGTGGAGACCAGTGAGGACACCAGAGGGGACAGCTGGGCACGGGAGGGTGGTAGATCTGCGGCCAACTGTAGGTCCTGAATTAGGATCAGCCAGGGCAACCGGAACCAGAGCAGGAAGTAGTGTGACAGTCGTGTGGTCATGGAAGAAGCACTGAGATGCGCTAGAGTCCAGCGTGAAGGAGAGCGACACGTAAGCCGTAGGTACACCTGGGCTAGTAACAATACAAGAGCCTAGATTGGTAGCACAACACCTACACTAGCATTAGGCAAGGATCCTAGGGTACGAACACACAAGCACACAGATCTAGCAGCACTATATCCAACATCAACACACATCATAGAAGCAGATCGCAAGGCATCAAGCATCTCTACCGAAGATATGTCAAACAATGTCAGACGAAGGGAACGAGCAAGTAGGGCCCTATCTGGAGTAGGGCCAAGTCTGTAGTGCGTGCGAGGGAGGTACGTGAGCTGCGCAAAGCACTGACCCAAAGGCTGAAGACGGCCACAGGGCCCAACTCGGCGTGTCCCAGTCTGAGCCAGATATTGTCATGGAGTAGGGGCAGGACCACGCGACGCCCAGCTGGGTGGGCCACCGCCGTGTCCAGCACTCCCTGGAACAACAAGTCTCCACTGCTGGAATTGCTGCTGAACCTGTCGCTGTACCTACTGCAGCGGCTGTCCCTGCGGTGACTGCTGGGGCTATGGCTACTGCTGTTGGGACTGCTGATGCTACTATGCTGCATACCAACCAACTGGTCCAGTGCTACCTCCCATAGGGCCCGCAATCCTAGTACCACCACCAGTGCTGCCTCCACTAGACGCAATAGTACCGCCATTACCTCCGCCACCCACTCCACCACCACCGCCACCACCACCCTCCCCCCCTTTCCTACCTCCTCTGCCTCTGGTTTGGCCACTAGCGGTGGAAATGGCTGTTGTCTTGTCAGAAGAAGGAGACGCAGTAGACGCAAGAGAAGCAGTGAAGGTGTGGAGCTGTGGAACAGTACCCACCTAAAAGAGCGGAGGAACTACGGATGCAGTAGCGGAGGCAGTGGAGCAGACGTTGCTCTCGATATCCTTGAGAGCTGCCTCAAGGATGTAGATAGTGAGCGCACTAGGGTGCTTTCGAAGAAGCGTGTTGCGTGCACCTGCAAGGCGGTCAGAAAGGCTAGTGCATACGAAGTGAAGTATGACGTGCATGGGTGGCGCGGCGGCCGCATGCTCAGCAGCGGTACAAGCAACATGGTAGCTAGTGTCTAGCGAATGCAAGGGGGTGACAAGGCCAGCAATACAGTCAAACGCTCCAAGGTCAAGAAACTGAAACAACATGAGGAGGCGACAAAGAGAGGCAGAGGAGGGAGTGGAATGATGGGACTTTATCACATCGAAACAATCTTTGGTAGAATGAACCTGACTTAAGTGGGCTCCCTCAGTCTCGGGTAGGAGGGTGCTGAGAGCAAGGCGAGCCGCACCGTCATGAGACTGCTATATCGACAGAGACACATGGCCCTGAGCAAAGCGCTCCTGGTCTACGGCAGTAGGCTCAGGAGGCAGGTTAGCAGGGGGCTCGTGTGAAGCCAGGTCACCAGAGGCGTGAGCTCAGAGCGTGTCACCATCCTGGCGCTGGCTCTGGAGGTACATCTCGGTGTGCAGAAGCCAGGTGGGGAACTCCAGTAGGTCGCCATGGTGAGTGCTCTACTGGACTAGGAGCAAAAGGCTAGGAACGACCGGAGCTAGAAGCGAACGAAGCCAGAAATGCTAGTCTAGGAAAGGCTGGAGCGAACGGAGCCAGAAGGTAAGTCTAGGAACGGTCGGAGCAGGAAGCTAGGATCGAACAGACCCAGAAAGGCTAGTCTAGGAATGGCCGAAGCTAGGATCGAACAGAGCCAGAAAGGGCTAGAATAGAAACGCAAGTCACAACGAGGCACAAACCCTAAACTGCGAAGGAGAGCCGACTGCGGCTGCCAGCCGCTGCTAGGAACGCCTATGGTAGGAGGCGAGTGGTAGACAGCAGACACGAATGGGAAGGTGGGTGCTGCTGTCATTGCGTGTGCAACTGCCGTTGTGCGCGTGCATGTGCATGCACGGCTGCTGTTGCGCGTGCGGTAGTGTGCGTGTAAGGGCACAACAATTGCAGCTGCAGGCACGGTATGTGCTGCATGTGCGGCAGCTGCTGTTGCGCACACAACTACTGGCGCGCGTGCAGCTACACACGTGCGGTTGTGCGCGCGGTTGCATGTATGCGTGCGTAGCTGCATGCGCGGCTACGTGTGTGGGGCTATGCGTACATCTGTGTGCATACTACTGTGCATGGGGCAGGACAACATGCGGGACGAGACGAGACGGGCAGAAAGCTGGATGGGCGGGATGGGACGGGACGGGCAGCGCGTGGGATGAGACGTGACGGGGCAGCGCGCTGCAGCGCGGGGCAGCGCAGGGCAGCGTGAGGGGCAGCACGCGGCTGCTGCGCTAGTGCGTTAGGGTACCAGAGGGACGAGCGACGGCGAGCGCTAGGAGGCAGGAAGCACTAAGTGAGATCGAATGGCGAGCTAGGCTAGGGTACTAGGAGAACCTAAAGTAAAAAAACACCCGAATGAGTTCAGTAGCAAGGGGATCAATACAAATACCAGCCCCATAAATGGGTTGTACTCCCTACAATGCTACTCACTATAGCCTAACAAGCTAATATAACATTTGACACTCATCAGTATGAGTTTCAAAATAACCCTGATTTCTTAGTTTAAATCCGTAGGCTAGCTAGACTGAGGGAGACACGTTTTATTAGGGGAGGACTGATAGGCCAGCGTGCTCTAAATCCTATCTGAGGGCCTGCTCTCAGTACGTGAAAGGCGTTTGCTCCTTTGAATGAAAAAAACATTAGTTAGAGAAGGATGGTGGTGGAAAAGATGAGCGGTACAAAGGAAAGGGGGTATGAATACCAAGTGTTCTGAGTGCAACTGATGAATCGAGAGAGGATTGCACTTAAAGCCCAGCCCTCGAATTACAGAGGCCTTTACAGACTGGGGCCAGTTTGTGTCTCGCTTCTACTGGTTTCGGGAAAGAAAGGTTTAGGGGAGGTTTTCGAACCTCAAATGTCTACTTTCCCAAACCTATTTTCCCGTTGAGTAATTCAGGTATTGCCCTTTAAGAGTCAAACGAGAATAAACGAGTGTGGGCAAAGGCATGAGCGAACATTTATAGCAAAAACAATCAAACGGTAAAGCGGACTTGCGAGCTAGCTGGTGCGATGCTTGCAGCAAGGCTCAGGCTAGTCCTTGAAGCGTAGGCCGACTCGGCCAAGTCCAGTAGTGCGTGGTTTGGTAAAAGTGGCGCGTGAAGTGGCGAACACCGTCAATCAGTATCGATAGGCGAAGAAACGGTTGGGTGTTGTATCCGTTGCTAAGGTGCGCAGGCAGTAAGGAATCCTGAAAAGTCCCTCGCACATAGAGAGATCCGGATTTTATGTGAGACAATTTTCCACATACCAATTGCAAGTTGCAACAGTTCTAACCAGCTATTTCCAACTGCTGTACCATATTTGACAGACCCTCATGCTTAAGAAACTGATGCAATGCAACTGTTCAAGTGGTGAGTGATGACCCTCATTTGGCAGGGCTAGTGCCAAATGATTATAAAAGGGACTTGGTGGTAACCCAATTACAGAGCCACTCAACTTGGTTGAGAATCTCAATCATTGCCACATGGGCAGAGCCCATGGAGGTGCACCCCTCCTTGTCATGGGGAAGGGGGTTGCACCCCAAGGGGTAGTAGGAAGAGGTATGAGCCTTCCAAGCTCATTCTCCATTTCCTTTCCCCAACAACTCAAGTTGGAAAAGGAATTGTTCTTGGTCTAACTCTCCTCCACAGTTTCAGACTCATTTCTCCACTCTTCTCCAGACTTAGTCAATTCTTGAAGCTGCTACTCTCCGTTTTTTACCAGAACCTATTTATAAATGGGTAAGCACCCGTTTTAGTTGGAGATACGTTATATCCACTCCCACAGCATTCTCATTGTGCATTACTACCGTAACTACCATATGTAATTCTTGCCAGCGTAACCATAGCGCATCTCTCGCTTAGGTCATGGGGCCGAACGTGCCATCGTTTATTTTGCGACACCTAATACGCCAGGCATTCGCCTCCCATGCGTGAGGGCATTGAGGCAGCGTGATGATGAGCGTCACAGGTATTCCCCTTTCTCGTGTCGCGATTATCCTTCCAACCGCTCGATTCTCCTTTCATGTGTCATGATTCTCCTTCCCGCCGCCCCATTCCCCTTTCCCACCCCCCGATTCCCCTTCCCGCCGCCCGATTCCCCTTCTCGCCGCCCGATTCCCCTTTCCTGTAGCCCGATTCCCCTTCCCGCCGCCCGATTCCCCTTTCCCACCACCTGATTCCCCTTTCCCGCTGCCCGATTTCCCGTTCCCGTCGCCCGTTCTCCCCTTCCCGCCTCCCATTCATCCCTTCCCACCTCTCGTTCAACCCTTCCACCTCCCATTCTCCTCTGCCCGCCTCCCATTCTCCCCTTCCCGCCTCCCATTCTTCCATTCCCGCCTCCCATTCTCCCCTTCCCGCCTCCCATTCTCCCCTTCTCGCCTCCCATTCTCCCCTTCCTGCCTCCCTTCTCTCCCTTCCCTCCTTTCCCTCCCTTCTCTCCCTACCCTCCCTTCTCTCCCTTCCCTCCCTTCTCTCCCTTATCACCCTTGCCTCCCTTATCTTCCTTCCCTCAATTCCCTCCCCTCCCTTGATTGCCTTCCCTCCCTTCTCTCCCTTCCCTCCCTTCTCTCCCTTCCCGCCCTTCCCTCCCTTCTCTCCCTAACCCGGCGGCCGCTTCACCCTGAAAATCCACATGCCATCGACTATGTTCGCCCCATGTGGGGAAACCTCGTCGACGTAGGTGCCTGTGGACTTCTAGGATGCCATCTCGACATCCATGGTTGCCTGCCACTGAGAGGAGTAGGGACCCGTAATCGCCTCTTCATAAGAGCGCGGGGTTGGGATGTCTGGTGCATCCGGGTCTCCCTCAGGGACAAGCAGCATGGAAGCGAAACGAGGTACAGCAGCTGCAAGACACTCAAAGTCCTCCTGCCTATCCTCAAGGACGTCCGTGCCAAGAGCACACTCACCCCCGACGGACGGAGGACTGCCAGACTAAGACTCAGCAACAAGAGCAGTTTCGTAGTCTAGACGACAGGCAGCAGCAAAGTCAAGCAGCTCAGCAACGAGGGCAGACGCAGTACCAGACTCAAAGGAAGGGTCAGTGACAGCAATGGCGAGGAGACAAGAGACAGTGGGACTGGCAGCACGAGCGCGGTCAGACTCAGGGTCAGGGACGGCAGGATGAGAGGACCTAAGAGGAGCAGGCAGAGGAACATGCAGTGGAACAGAGGAAGGACGAAGTGTCATAGCGTGTGTGCCCAAGTCAGGAGGAGGATGCGGACAAGGAACGCGATGACCAGAGCGAACAGGGGAGGCAGGACGAGACGCAGGCGCACAACGCTCTGTAAGACCTCATGTCTGCTCAGTGTAAGGAGAGGGAGCGGGTAGTGGGGAGGCCGGCTGTAACGACGGCTGCGACTGGTCAGGCGGTGGACACAGTAAGGGAGGAGTAAGGCCAGTAGAAGACGGGACACCAAGAACCTGCTGAAGCAGGGGAACGAAGTACGGTCGCGGCCGCACAGTACCTCCAGCACCTCAAGCTCCAGGGTCAACAGCTCCAGCACCTCCAGCTCTAGCTACGCCAGCTCCACCACCACCTGTGCCAGAGCCTCCAGCTCCAGCAGCTCCATACTCCGTAGGGTCTCCAGCTCCAGCACCCCCAACACCACCAGTCCCGGCAGCTCCAGTACCCTGGGTACGAGCACCTCCAGGACCAGTAGCCGTAGTACCTCCAGGAACACTAGCTCCAGCAGTAACGCCAGCACCTCCAGCTCCAGCGACTCCAGCACCTCCAGCTCCGGTAGCTCCACTCCGAAGGCGTGTGCGCCGAACGAGCCACTCATGCAGCTGCTGCGGAGACAGTCTCGGCGAAGCACCAGCAGAACCTCCAGACGAAGCAGCACCCTGAGACTCAGCACCCCCAGACTCCGCACCCTCCGACTCAGCACCCCCAGGCTCAACACCCACAGGCTCAGCACCCCCTGTCTCAGCACCCCCAGTCTAAGTACCCCCAGGCTCAGCACCCCAGTCTCAGCACCCCCAGGCTCAGCACCCCCAGGCTCAGCACCCCCAGGCTCAGCACCCCCAGACGCAGTACCTCTAGTAGCACCTGAGTCTACAGCTACCTCACCAGGCACAGCACCTGGGGGTGTGTCTACCTGAGAGACACCTGAGGGAGCCGGACCCTGAGGAGGGAGGGGGTCTACCGGAGGGGGACCTGGAGCAAGGAAGAGCGGCGGGGGAGGGAGAGGGGCAGAGTGGTAGGGGAAGAGACGGTAAAAGGGAATTGACTCGTCAAATGTGACGTCCTGAGAGGGGAGGACACGGCGCGAGTTAGGGTGGTAAAACGGCCAACCAGGCGCGTCAAGGACAAAGCCAAGGAAGACGCAAGGAATGGCGCGGTCGGAGAGCTTTTCCGCAGACGTATCGTGAACAAAGGCACGAGAACCTCAGACCCGGAACATCGACGCATCGCCAACCTCCCCCGTCCAACGCAGTGTGGGCAAGGTCTCCGGCAAGAAGACACGGGGCCAGAGGTTGAGCTGATGCGCAGCGTACAGGACCGCAAACAGCCACAGAAAATGGGGAGCAGCCGCATGGATCATGGAGGTACGAGCGACCTCCATGACTAAGCCAATGTGGCGCTCAGCAATCCCATTTTGCTGAGGGGAGTGTGAAAGCGTGAACGACTGGAGAATGCCCTCATCACAATGAGGTCTGAGGAGAACTCACCACCTCTGTCAGAGTGCAAACGCACGACAGGAAGGTCCGCACAGAACCGCTCGCGGAGCTGGAGACGGACTGCGCGGATCCAAGGGATCAAGACATCAACGCAGAAAGAATAACATCAAAGTCTACGTCAAAGATAGCAGCCCCAGACCTAAGCAAATCTGCCCACCGAGGGCGCTCGACCTCGTCACCAAACTCAGCACGCCAGGCGTCGTCGAGGCGGGAGAAGCAGCGGTGCTTAGTGTGAAGCTTCCCGCATGTCTGACCAGCACGGACACCCGTGCTAATGACATACGGGCAGCTATCACTACCCCCAGACGTCCCACGTTGAAACAACCACTCTCGGAGCTGCTGGGGCGACTGGGTCTTGCTCGGACGCTGCTGCTGCTGCCTCTCGCCACCACCAGGGCCTCCACGCCGAGGTCCAGTCCTACCGCCACCAGTCCCACCGCCTCCAATGCCGCCACTCCCACCGTTTCCTCCACCGCCGCCACCAGAGCCCCCACTCCCACCACCAGTCCCACCGCCGCCACCACGTCCACTGCCTCCACCACCTCCACTGTTGCCCCCACCACCACTCCCGCTGCCACCTCCACCACCCCTGCCACCCCTGCCCTTGCTGCTGTGGCGCTTCGCACCAGCAGAAGCAGCCCCGACGTTCTCAGCAACAGAGACGTCTGCAGTAGCAGCAGCAGAGGAGGGGGCAAGGGGGGAGGGGGAGCACCCCTCAAAGAAGGGCGGGCGCGGAGTGCCACGAGCAGCACCTACAGCGACTGCACTAGTCTCAGCTGCAAGGAGATGTTGCTTGAGGAGGTCAACAGTGAGGGAGGTGGGGTCAAGGGAGAGAAAGTGGTCCCTGATAGAGCGAAGAGAGTCAGGGAGGCGAGTGACTATGAAGTAGAGGGTGATGAACATCGGGGGCTGGTTTCTGTCAAGGAACTCAGCAGGGACGGTAGCGCGGTAGCGAGCGTCGCTAGTGCGCAGGTGGGAAACCAGGTTCTCTACTGTGGCAAAAGCTGACAGCTCGGGGAACAGGTAGGGTAGTAGCAGTCGGCCTAGAGCAGCAGTGGCAGGCGAGGAGTAGCGACCGACTACAGCGTCGTACAAGGCCTGTGCAGTCCTGTGCTGTCCGAAGTGAGCGCATTCGGCTAACGGCAGGTGGTTGCGAATGGCTAAGCGGGCAGCAGCGTCGCGAGTAAGCCACTGTGAGCGAGTCGCACTGTCAGCTGTGGCGGGAGGGGCGGTAGCGGCACCTGACGAGAGGTCAAACAGCAACACACTGTCCTTAGAATCGCTCAGTAGGTACAGCTGCAGGTCGTCCAGCCACGTGTCAAACTGAACCGGTCTTCCCTCATGATCGAACGCGAGAACTCGAAGCGAAGCCATAGTGGCGCAGCATGCAGGAGCAGCAGTAGCAGCAGCAGCAGCAGCAGTAGCAATAGCAGCAGTAGGAGCAGCAGTAGCAGTAGTAGTAGCAGCAGAGGGGCCGAGGGGCCGGAGGCCTAGGGGCGTCGTGTGAGAATTGAGGAATGAATGATTGAACTAGAAATGAGATGGGTACAAATAGAGTACACAAAAGTGTTGTACCCTCTAGGAACTACCCCACTACAGCCTAAACAGACTATAGCATATATAAGTTTGACACACCCCCATAGGCAAAGTGGGGGAGAACAAGGGGTCACAAGACCAGTCAAGAAAAGTAAAGCAAGCTCAGGGTGGATCACAAAGTCACCACACAGTCTGAGCACAAGCAAAGGGCCACAAGGCCAGTTCACATGCAGAGTTATGTAAGGAAAGCAAACAATACAGTGAACACAACCTAGCAAGTATAAGCATGCAGGTATATGTATAAAAAGTACAGTACAGGCAGGATCAAGAAGAAAGCAAGTGAGGCACAGTAGGTACAAGGCCTAACATAGTACAGAAGCGCTGATGATCACAAGGCTAAAGTGCCTTGGTGAAAACATCAGCAGTGTTGGCCTGAGAGGCCACGTAAGCTAGACGAAGCTGACCACGCTGCTGCAACTCTCGAGCAAGGAAGTAGCGCAGAGCAATGTGCTTCGTTCTGTGCTCCAGTCTGTGCTCCTGACACAAGGCCAGCATGGCCTTGTTGTCGACGTACAGAACTGGAGGAGAACGAGGCGCCTCTCCCAAGTCGGTCAGCAGGTAGGGGAGCCAGCGAAGCTCCTGTGCAGCCATGGCCCCAGCGTAGATCTCAGCCTCACAACTGGAGCTGAGAACAAAGGAAGAGCGGGTAGACTGCCAAGAGACAGAACCGGAGCCAAGGCTGAAGGTGTAACCCTGTGACGACCGCTGCGTAGCCAAGTCGTCAACCCAGGAGGCGTCAGCGTGACCAGTGAGGACAACTCGAGCCCGTCCTCCAAGCACGAGCCCCATGCCCGATGTACTGCACAAGTATCGCAACACCCTCTTCGCAGCATCCCAGTGCACCTTTCGGTGCCTGCCGGGAGCCACGTAGCGAGCCAGAAGGCTGAGAGGGTATGCGAGGTCAGGTCGTGTGCAAGTCATCAGGTACATGAGGCAGCCCACAAGCTCTGGATACGGGCAAATCGGCTCTACGGACTCGTCCGAAGGTGGAGCTGAGAGCGAGTGACCGGTAGGCAGAGGAGTGGACTGTGGCGAGGAGTACGTGAAGCCGAAGCGCTGAAGGACCTGCTGCACCATGTGTGACTGAGTCAAGGTAATGGTGCGCTGTGCTCTGTCCCGGGTGATCCGCAAGCCAAGATAGCTTGTGAGCTCACCCAGGTCTGTGCACGTGTGTCTCTTCTGCAGCTCGGACTTCACGTGGGCGAGTGCCTCAGTGTCAGCAGTACCAAAGACGAGGTCGTCTACATACACGAGAACGTAGAACGGTGGCAGAGTAGTGTCAGTGCGTAAGAACAGAGAAGGGTCAGCAGTGGAAGGAGCAAA